AGCTGCTCCATCTGAGTATGTGTCACAAGGCAATGATAGCTAATGTATAGTATTCACACAAGCGTTAACAGGAATGGCATCTGTAGCATGCCGAACACGGTGCCGGGCACTTGGTTCCGTGCTTTCAAGGTGGGAATCAGCGTGTTACTTCACCTCAGTGCCTTTGCCGAGATGACTGCTCTCCATTTCTGCCTGTCAGAACTTTTCTGCCATACTTGAATGTTTCTAGAAGAGCGTTCTCTGACCTCTCCTGCCCAGGCACCCCTGTGGATAGAGAGTGCCTCGTCCACTGTGTGGCTGTTAGGCCCCGAGTCTCTCTGCTTGTCTGCAGAGCCAGCCCTCTTCCCCTGAATCCTGAAGAACCTGAATAGCCTCTGTGGTAATCAGGGTGTGCAAGGAAAACAATTTAATACAGGACACATAATTCACAGGATTATTTGATAATAATCATGCAAAGAGTCAAATACAAAAAAGTACATGAAATTGTCTACACACTGGTGACTCAAAGAATCCAGCTGAAGATGTAGAGCCCATGACAGTGGCCCCTGAGTCCAACTGGAGGCCTAGAACCCATGACAGTGTCTCATGAAAGTCTATTTCATGGATCTGTGCTGGGAAAGGGCCCAAAGGTCAGTGGAGGAAGCTAGAAAGTCCATGCCAGGGGATGAAGGATCTGTGCAGTGGGCTGAGGGATCTGTACCGAAGCCAGGAAGTGAAGCTCAAAGTAAGGACCGGGCTCTCCTGAACAGTACTGCAGCCATCCTCAGCGACAGCAAGGTGCCGAGCTCTCTGATGATAACAGCGAGTTCTTATCAGGAAGCTGGTGTGACAACTTTCTCCAAGAGATCGAACTGCACACCATCTTCAGGTCCGGAAAGCGGCTCTCCTCCCGCAGGACCAACACCACCACGCCTTTCTCTTCAGGTCTCCTTTTGATGTTGTCAGCACCACTCTCACGGGCCCTCCACCCCCAGCACCACGCTGACTGCATTCAGCTGGGTGTTAGAAGCTGCCCACCAGTTGTCAACCCACCACAACCTCAAATGGCCAAATCAGACTCTTCCGGCACCCCGTGCGCTCTGTCCTAGCCCCAGCCTGGGAGGTGCTCTGCGCAGACTGGTAGGGGCAAAGGCAAGAGGAGCTTGGCAGGAGGCAGAGAGCCCCTGGGCAGGGGAGGCTGGGGCTCTGGGGTGGGACAGCGGCGGGCTGGCCCTCCCTGTCTTTGTGGTGCTGACAGTGACTGCAGCACCTCCCTGAGCCCTTCCCTGGGCCCAGCACTGCAGGCCCTGCTGGAGGAAGGTGGCTTCAGCAGCCCTCTGCGGCCCCTGATGACAGAGGAGCCTTGCTCACAGGTGACCCCTCCATCCAAGTGTTGCCATCTGCTGAACTCCAGGCCACTCACGTCACATTGGCCCCAAGCCTGAAAGTTCACAGTAGGGACCCTAACCTCACATGTGACCAGTCAGCAAATTACTGCCTCTTCTGGGCCTCAGTTTTCCCGTCTTGGCAGGGTTGCCCCAAAGGTCTTTCCAGGTCTGCATAAAGAAGGTGCCGCCCCTGCTCACAGATGGGGGTCCCTTTGGGGTGAGCCACAGAGCTGAGAGGCCCACCCAATCCATCTCCTCATGGAAGCCTCTTTCCCACAGCAAGACAGGATGTGTCTCCATGACCGTGCCTTTCTGGAAACACCCAACAGTTCAGTTCTTTCCTGGGTTTCAACTGGAGGAGTCGCGTTCTTTTTGCTCATATCTCCTGGGAACTATTTTTGACTTGGTGGACTTGATGTGGTGGCCTGTGTGGGTGTTCCCTTTTAATTTGGGGTCTGAAGCCATCTGAGGACTGGGCCAGTAATTATGTGTACAGAGCCCTTTATGGAAACAGCTCGTAAAGAAGTCAGTAATGAGACTCGGCTGGGAATACCTCAGAAGAGACCCTGGGCCTGCTCTCCACAGGGCTGAGATTTCTGGCAGGAGAAAGCCCTTCAGCACATAGAAGGGACAGGTTACCAGTCCTGTGGCTCCTCCAGGGGCCTGCAGGGTCCACAGAGATGGGATCTTATTTTAGGTGTGAAGTGGGCCCCCAGGTCTTTGCTACTAGCAGGACCAGCCAGACAGGCCCAGCCTGTCCACCTCAGGGGTTCTGGGGAGCCTGTCCCCACCCTCAGAGGCCAGGCTTGGAGAAGAAGCAAGTCTCACAGCAGTGTGAAAATATCAGTGGCTTCTCAGGGAGACACACTTGACATGAAAGTCACTTCCAGACCAGTGTTGCCTGAGCCCAAGGGGCTGTGAATGCCGGACACAGAGGTGCTGTCCTGGACACACACAGCCCTAGGAAGGACAGGGCTTATCTGGGCCCCTGGGACCCAGGGCCTTGATGAGTGGGCTGCTGGAGCCTCCCATATCACTTACGTGTTCAACCTCTGCCCTCAAAGAGCTCACTGTCCAAAGGGGCATCTATGCCAGGAGCATGACCCCCTGGCTCAGGGAAGAGGGACAGACCAACAGCCTGGACTGTGAGCAGCCAGAGGGGAGGACGCAGTTCGTCAGTGGGTCTGATGGGAAAGCAGTCTTTAGAAATGACAGGAAAGGGCCTCTTGAGGGGTCCTCTGGAAGATGTCTCTAGGCAGAGGGTGCAAGAGGTCACGATAGACAGACAGACCTACAGACATCTGGCCAAGTGTCCTTCTATGGGGTGGCGGGGGGCACTGGAAGGGTTTGCTCGAAGGCAAGATGGGTCAGACAGCACAGAAGAATCTGTTCTCCTGATAGCCACTCTGAGCTGGAGCTTTGTCTTTTGAAGTCTTAACTTACGGTCAGAAACGAGACGGATTTTAGGTCTCCTGGGTGAGTCTAATTTCACCTAGGGAAGAAAAATAGCCAATACTTTGTTGATGCCAGGCAGATGAATGCAGGGTTTGGCATCAGGAGATGTAGCCTGTGAGTGGGGGGCACAGGTCCTGGGATGTGGACGGGCAGTGTGGCCAGGGATGCCGCCTCCTGCCCACAGTGGACCTTTCCTGGAAGCGTGGGAGCCGGAGGTGGTTTCGTCAGAGGGGGGAGGATGAGGCCCAGGGTTCTGTCGGCACATGTTGGTGATTCATAATTGTTTATTTTCCTGAGAGCCACATTAAGGCAATTTAAAAAGTAAATCTATTTGTTGCTTCCTCAGACAGAAGTGGGTTCACTGAACATTTTGGGCAGCTTTTATAAATTTGTGGAAAACAAACTTTTAGCAGTACCCATGGAACCAGACCTAGCTTAACTGTTTCTCAGTAGTCCTGTGAAAAGCACAGGTGCCCTCTCCATTGCTCCTGAACACATGGCCTTATCTTGTTCATATCACCTACAAAAGAAGCGACATTGCTATTTTACCTATTTCTTTTTAAAATCATAGTCCATTTCCCTCATCAGACCTTCAATTCCTTTAGTGCAAAGACCTTATCAGCCATGTTCACTGCAGCCTTCTCAGTGCCCAGAGCAGTTTTGTACATAAACAAATGAATGAGTAAATATAGCCATTTAGAAAAAAGATATTTAAAAATCCTTTTCTGATTGAAAAGTGGGCACTCAGAGATACCCTGACATGCTGGAGACCCTGCACGCGCCATTTCTTCTCTTCCCTGGTCTGAGGATGGAGCCTCCCACCTGCTCCTGCCCAAATGTGCCCATCCTGCCCTGCCCTGCCTAGCACAGCTGTGTGCCTGTCCATCCCTGGACCAAGTCCCCACCAAGAGGACAGGAAGTGCTCCCCACATCCGCCCGGCTGCACAACCTGGTGCTTTTCTAAACTTGACTTGTGGTCACTGAGCCCAGTAGCCAGAGAGGGTTTTTTAAAAGACTCACACACATATAATTAAAATCTCAGTGTTGGGTTGTGGGCAGGGCACTTGGGCGGCTCCCACCCCTGCTTTCCGGAAACACAGATTTTTGGCTTTTGAAAGTGACAAGAGCTAAAGGGAGACTGCCTAAATATACCACCCTGGGCATTTCTGTGCAGCTGGGCAAATGTGGGATTTATTCCTGAGGGCGGCCTTTGCACAGACAGATAGGCTGCCTCTGCCAGTTTGGCCCACTCAGCCCTCACTGCTGCCTCTGCAGGATCCTACATCCCCCCCCCCCCCCGCAGCCTGCACTGCCCCTCACTGGCCAGAGGCACAGCCACATCCCCAGCCCAGGATTCCAGCTCACAGGCGGGCCCAGCCAGACCCACTGAGGCCTCACGGCAGCCGTGGGGAGGTCCCAGCCTCCTCACCTCACACACCAGAGCCCTCTGCCTGCCAAGATGCCTGCCCATCCTTCAAGGCCAGTTCACAAGTCACCTCCCCTGAGAAGCCTGCTAGGATTCTGCCACGTGTGGGTCCCTCCAGCTTCCCACACTTTGACTGGGCTTCTCCAGGAGCTTGTTGTCCTACCCTGGGATTTATTCTTTATTCTGCCTTCCTCCTACCTCCTCCCCTTATCCTCTAAAGGAAATTTACAGCTTCTTCCCTTCTGCCAGGGAATCTCCTTCCCCGCCCTTGGGATCGGATGCCCTCAGCCTTGCTCTGCTGGGCTGTGCTCTGCAGCCTCTCCGTGGACACTGAGGCAGATTCCCACTCAGCCCTCAGGTCGAGCTCAGCTGTCAGATCAGATCTCTCTCCTCCCCCACTTCCTGCCCAGGAGCTGGATGGGCCTGGAATGGCCCCTGTCCCACCGCAATGCAGCCACTTCTGTGTCTGCTCCCTTTCACCCTGGGCTCCCACAGCTGGGCCTTGGGGCTCCCAGGACCAGTACGGGACTAGTAGGGAGTGGCAAGTGGGTTTGGGGCATGGGGTCTGTTGAGCATTTGCTAGAGCTGCTCACTAAGTGACCTGGTGGAGCCTTGTCTACATCTGGGGCAGAGCCTGGAACAGGCTGTTTGTAGAAGAGAAAGCAGCCCTGACCTGGCTGCGTGGGTTCCTGCTCCAGAGCCCACGCCATTCCAGCTGCTCCTAACCACCTGTCTCTGGCTTTGTTTTCCAGTGGAGCATGACCATTCCCTGGGCCACCAGGAACCCCACTGGAAGGAGTTCCACTTCGATTTGATGCAGATTCCGGCAGGAGAGGCAGTCACGGCTGCCGAGTTCCGGATTTATAAGGTGCCCAGCACCCACCCACTCAACACGACTCTACATGTCAGCGTGTTCGAGGTGGTTCGGGAGCGCTCCAACAGGTGCCTCCCCTCAGCCCAGGCCCATCCTCCCGTGCCTTGGTCAAGGCTCAGGCAGGACATACTGCCTGACACGGGGTGCGGGGGAGTGTGTCCCAAAGGAGGAAGGGGAGCTGCCTGGGAGGACAGCCTCAGAGGTGGGAAGGATGCTGGGCCTGAGCAGCCCTGCCTTGCCTTCCTGGCTGTGGGGCTTTGGGTGGGTCCCGAGCCATTGCGCCTCAGTCTCCCACCTTCACGTGGGCACATAGTTTGGGGTGGCGTATGAGTGGCATACAGCAGAGGAGCCCATCCCAGGGCCAGGGCAGGGTGGCTGCCTCAATAAGGGTCCCCAGAGGTAGTGGGACTGGCCCTCTACCCTTGGTTAATTGTTCTTTCGTGTCCACAGGGAGTCTGACTTGTTCTTTTTGGATCTTCAGACCCTCAGAGCAGGAGACGAGGGCTGGCTGGTGCTGGACGTCACGGCAGCCAGTGATCGCTGGTTGTTGAACCGTAACAAGGACCTGGGACTCCGCCTCCATGTGGAAACCTTGGATGGTGAGACTTAGGGGCTCAATGAGGGCTCTCACCTGGGCTCCAGCAGGTGGTTCCAGCAGAGGCCCTAGTGCTGGGGAGCAGCCTCCCTGTGCCCTAGGTGCCTGTTCTATCCCAGTTTGGCCCACTGTGAGGACTTGGTGTGGGGAGCATAAGGTCCTGGATCGAAAGGACTCCAGACAAGGCCACCATCCCCCTGTCCTCCTACAGAAGCTGTGAGCTGCCAAGGGGGAGTGGCAGCCTCCTCCCAAGGAATGGGGCAGCCTTGGCACTGGGCAGGTCTGGCGGGAAGGGGTGGGGCAACCAGACCATTGGCTCTGAGTGGGAGGGCCCGGGTTGGAGTCCTGCCAGCCGGCTCTCTGATGTCCTGACCTGGTGACTTCGGCATGTTACTGACCTCCCCACACCTCAGTTTTCTCATCTGCAGATGAGGTTTGCTCACTGGCACACAGGTGTTGGGGAAAGCTCCCTTTGTACCAGGCTGTGAGGGCAGAAGGGCCAAGGTGGCACAAGACTGGCTGCCTGAGGTCCAGCAGGGGGCCACATGGAGGAGTAGGTTGGGGCTGGGAGGAGGCTGGGAGGGGTCGGCAGAGGTCACTGAGTTAGGGGAACCAGGACAAGGTGTTTGGAGGTTTGAGGGAAGTTGATCTAACAGCGGTGAGGGATGACAGGCTGTCACTTAGGTGTTTATTGTTGTTAACCCAGCAATGGTGATGGAACCCAGAGTCTCCAGTGCTAGGCAAATGCTCTACCGCTCAGCAGTGACTCTGGTGTTTGAGAGACTCCCTCTGAGTCCAGTTCCTGGGAGGAGCCCAACTCCTGTCGCCTACAGGGAGCTCCAGCAGGGAGCAGAGGTGGGGCCACCCTCACCCTCCCAAGTGCCAACGGGATGAAACACGTGCGCCACCTAGCATACAGTGACCATTCCTTGAAGGTGGCTATCGCCTTCCCCAGCAAGGCACCCGGCAACCTGGACATTAAATCCTCACCGTCTCCGAAGTCCGCAGGGCCTGGAGTGCCTGGCCAGGCTCTGGGGCAGGGAGGGCAGCGGGAACCCAAGCAGGCGCCGCCCACAGAGCGTGACCCCACGCAGGGGTCCTGCCGCAGCCCTCCCGGCTCTGTGACGCACGGTGGCGCTGCGGGGGTTGCTGGCGGCCAGGCACCCAGCCAGTGCCCGCCTGGCCGGCCTCGGGACGATGGCGGCGCTGCGGCTCCTGGCGGCGGCTCTGGGCAGCCGCGTCCCTGCCAGGTGCTCGGGGCCCGCGCGGTCCCTGGGCCGCGCGCGCCGCTTCGCCACCAGTTCCCCTGTGCGCGTCCAGTTCTACTCCGGCCCGGGGGAGGCGCTGAAGGGCGTCTCGGACGGAGCGACCGTCATGATCGGGGGCTTCGGGCTCTGCGGGATCCCTGAGAACCTGATTGCTGCGCTGCGGGACACGGGCGTGAAGAACCTGACGGTGATCAGCACCAACGCGGGCGTGGCCGACTTTGGCCTCGGCGTCCTGCTGACCACCAAGCAGGTGCGCCGCGTGGTCTGCTCCTACCTGGGCGAGAGCCCGGTGTGCGAGCAGCAGTACCTGGCCGGCGAGCTGGAGCTGGAGATGACGCCGCAGGGCACCCTAGCCGAGCGCATCCGCGCTGGCGGCGCCGGGGTGCCCGCCTTCTACACGCCCACGGGCTACGGCACGTTGGTGCAAGAGGGCGGCGCCCCCATCGCCTACTACCCAGACGGCCACTTGGCAGTGCTGAGCCAGCCCCGGGAGGTGCGGGAGTTCGGCGGGAAACACTACCTGCTGGAGCACGCCATCCGCGCCGACTTCGCCCTGGTCAAGGGCTGGAAGGCGGACCGCGCAGGCAACGTGATCTTCCGCGGGAGCGCCAGGAACTTCAACGTGCCCATGTGCAAGGCGGCCGACGTCTCGGTGGTGGAGGTGGAAGAAATCGTGGATGTGGGCACTTTCGCCCCAGAAGACATCCACGTGCCCAACATTTATGTTGATCGCGTGATAAAGGGGGCCAAATACGAGAAAAGGATCGAACGTTTAACCACACGGAATGGGCAAAGAGCGCAAGCCAAGGACGCAGGCGACATCAGGACTCGGATCATCAAGCGGGCGGCTCTGGAATTTGAGGACGGCATGTATGCCAATCTGGGCATAGGGATCCCTCTCTTGGCCAGCAACTACATCAGCCCCAAGATGACAGTTCATCTGCACAGCGAGAACGGGATTCTGGGCCTGGGCCCGTTTCCCTTAAAAAAGGAGGTGGACGCGGACATCATAAATGCAGGCAAGCAGACAGTCACCGTGATTCCCGGGGGCTCTTTCTTTGCCAGCGATGACTCCTTTGCTATGATTCGTGGGGGACACATCCAACTGACCATGCTGGGAGCCATGCAGGTTTCCAAATACGGAGACCTGGCCAACTGGATGATACCCGGAAAGAAGGTCAAAGGGATGGGCGGAGCCATGGATCTGGTGTCCAGTACCAAAACCAAGGTGGTGGTCACTATGGAGCACTGCACGAAGGCAAATACTCCCAAAATCTTGGATAAGTGCACCATGCCGCTGACTGGGAAACGTTGCGTGGACCGAATCATCACCGAGAAGGCAGTGTTCAACGTGCACCCGAACAGAGGGCTGACACTGGTGGAGCTCTGGCAGGACTCCACGGTAGAGGAGGTCAAAGCCAGCACAGGCTGTGCCTTTGCCGTGTCCCCAGACCTTAAACCCATGCAGCAGGTGGCAACATGAGCGAGAAGCAGCCTGGGCCACACTGTGCTTCCTGGGCCTCTCCTGGGATTTGATGGGAGGGAGTGTTAACCGCAGGGGGCGCTGTCAGGCTCCCAGCCTGGTGTTGCTGTCCTCTCAGCTTTTTACTGCTTATTTTAGCAGCTTTCTACTGCTAATTTAATTAAAAACTAAAGGAGTCACCGAGTCTACTCATGTGTCCTGTGAGTACTCCAGGGCCCCTACTACCATCACTGAGGATGTTGGTGCCTGCTCCATCATCAGTGATGTTTACAGTGAATCACTTGGGTCCCACATGGTCCCCCAGCAGGCTTCTGGCCCACTGTTCCCCCTCACAACTGAATCACGATGATGCAGGAGAAAAGAACCCGACTCAGAGCTCATCTAAGGTACCATTTTACTGGTGCTATGAAAGGGTGCACAGCTCAGTGTGACTGTGCGGCACAAGGGCTGCCTCGGGAAGCTCTTCCCTGCAGACCCTCTGCTCTTCTCCTGGGCCTTTTGTCCCTGGTTCAGCTTCCCTCTGTCCTGACTCTTCCTCCTGTGTGCCTCTCTGAGGGAAGACAAGGCCATCTCCATGGGACAGGAACTGGTAGTGGGAGGGATGGAGGGTGGACTGTGGTGCTGAGACTCACCTGGAAGGGCCTCTCCACACAGTCCCCGTGTGTCACCCAAGGCTGTGGCTCGTTCTAGGAGAAAATCTAGGAGTCTAACCAATGGCAGAGTCGTGGTGTCTCTGCTCAAAGTGCTGCAGCACACAGAACCCACACCAGACAGTTCTGATGCCCCAAACTGGCCTTTGAGACATCCTCCTTCCTAACCCAGCAGGGCTGTGGGACATGCATGCCACCCTTAATCTACTGTCTCTCACACTGATATGAAAAAGAGAAAGAACCCACATGAAGCAGGGGATGCAAGCTGTTGCAAGGGCTCCATCAGACTGTCACCCAAAGAAAAGGCCAGGTACTGGACTCCAGAAATAGAGGGGAAACTGGGAAGGTGCCACAGCCAGTCGGAGTGGATAGGATGTCATCTGGCACAGCAAGCTGTACCTCTTGGGCTTCTTGGGGCATCTGATCTGCACTGAGCATCAGGAGGAATCTCTAGCAGCAGTGGGAAAAAAAGCTGAGGTCCAGAGCAGGCAGGTGGGAGGGCTGCCAGGGAGGAGATGAATGGGCCCTTGCTCCTCAGATGACCGTGTCTGAGGAGGTGACCTAAAGGACTAGGGAGTTACCACATCTGGAATTCCCTTGAGACTTCAACCAGGCCTCTGGACTGCCCCTCAGTGTGACTCTGGAGTCACTTCCTCTTGCAGGCTGGGGTGGGGCAGAGGCTGCAGAAAGAAGCCTTGCAGAGGTGGAGGCAAAATGTGGTCCAGCACTGTTGGGGAGTGGGCGTAACCTAGGCAGAGAGCCTGGTCCCTGAGCTTCTACCTGTCTTCCTGGGGTGGTGGTTGCCCATAGCTGAACCCCACCACCACCACCACCAGCGGGCCTGATAGATCTTCCCTGCAGCCAGCAGAAGCCGGGACCCTGCCCAGGGATGTGCTGGCAAAGAGCAGAGCTGTGGCAACAGGGAGCTCTGAGCTCAAGAAGGGGCTGCTTCTCCAGTTCTGACAGAAGACAGTGCCAGTCCCCTAGCCGCCCTGCCTCTGCCGCAGACAGGCCACTGCCACCTACTGGAGAAGCACTGAATAGCATGGCTCTGCTTGCTCTGCTCTCTCTGGGCCTTAGTTTCCACTTCTGTAAAATGAGAACCTGGGATGAGCTGTATCCAGGGGGCATCAGTCTTGCTTACCTGATGTACCAGAGGTACCCAGACTCACTCAGTCCGCTCTGAGGATCTCTGCAGGGCTCTTCTCTGTAATGGATCTAATATGTCATTTGTGCTGCACTCAGGGAACCTCAGGAGGCTCTCAAAACAGCTGCACAGAAGCAAAGCCAACCCAGAAGTGGTCCAGAATACTGAACACACCCTGCCCACAGGGGCCAGGGCTCCAGGGGCCCAGAGGGAGCCGTGGCCTGCACACAGGGCTGCAGGCTGCCCTGAGTCTAGGCCATCTGTGTGTCAGCAGTCTGTGGGGTCTGCTCCAGTGCCTGGCATTGTGCACATGGCGTCCTTGCTCTCACCCATTTCGTCCCCTGCCTGAGGCGACCTCCCTCACCTTAACCTCTGAGCCTGCAGCTCTGCTTCCTTACAGCACTGCTGCTTCTCAGTGGCTGCAGCTGCCATGTCCCACAACCTCTGCATGGCTTCTCTGGGCTTCCTCCAAGTGCCAGCCAGGCAGCTCACAGCCCCTGTCCCTGCAGCTCTGCCCACATCCCTGAGGCAGCCTCAGGGCCCAGCGTCTTTCTTTGTGGCAGGTGATGTCACAGGTCAAAGGTTGCTTCTGGTGATAAGTTGTTCTATTGAGTGGGCCATGGACTCCTGGTCTGAGATCCCACTGATGAGGGGTGACTTTCTAGTGCACTGTGAGTGGCGCTGGCAGTGTCCTGACCCTGGTAGTCTGCAGCTGGGGTGGATGGACCTGTGTATACACCATGCCTGTAAATGTACACATGTCTGTGTGCTTATGTGCATGCAAACATAGGCAAGTCCTTGTGTTGGTGCTCACAGTGGGAGATGCATGTACTCTTATGTCAGTGAGTGTGGCTTAAAGATACAAGAGTGAACAGCAGTGTGTAACTGAGGGTGAGCATTTCCACACAGGTTCAGTGAGAAGAAGGGTGTGTTTTCATCCTCATAAGCAAGGCAAGGAAACCTGACTCTAACGAGAAGCTCCTATCTGTGTGGAAGGGAAGGCAGATCTGCTCAAAGGCATTTTATGCATTTAAACCATTTATTGTGGCAATGTATTTTAATAGCTGCAGAAAGGGTTATATAGAAAGTTGAAAAAGTACAAACTTCTTTGCTATACTGGAAACTGTGTAAAATGTAAGTCAGCACATGATAATAGAAAATTAGAAGAGTATGGGAGTTGGAGAGAGACTTTATGTATCATACAGTTTTTTTTTTCAGAAGTTCTTTTACTGTGGTTTTTATAGTGCTTTTACAATAAAAGATAAATAAAAATGAAAAAACAGGCTATGCACCAGCCACATCAGCATAGGAGGACAGTCTGGGGGCGCAGGTGTCCCTCTCCAGCAGGTCACCCCAAGGAAGGGCCATCCCTGGACCCCAGTGGGGGATCTCTGGTATGTGGAGAAGTGGCTGGTTGGGGTGGGTGGAATGTCACCTGGCACTATGAGCTATACTTTTGGGGCTTCTGGGGGCACCGGATCTGCCCTTGGTATCAGAAATCTCCAGCAGCAGTGGGAAGAGGCCGAGGTCCAGAGCAGGCAGGAGGGCAGCCAGGAGATCCTAGTGTTACAGGCTGGTGACCGCCTCAGGTCTCTGCACCCTTCTTCCTTCTAACCATCACCTTGGCCTAGTGGACATGGACTAGGGTGTCCCAAAGGGGCTGATGTGGGTGAGCCGGGCTCTGGACTTTGTCCTGATGTCTGTTCTGCTGGCACTGCTGCCTCCTGTTGGGGGCAGTGACTGCCCTGCTCTGGGGCCACGCTGGCAGAGGTGGGCTGAGTGCTCAGTGCCTTGGGCTAGTGCTGCTGTTAATCCCACATTCCTCCTCAGAAACACAGCAGAGAACAGGCCGTGGGCCTTGTGTCCCGAGGAGGGACCCTGGTTCTGAAAGTCACCAGCAGCGGACCCTGGTCATCAGTGAGTGGGCCTGAGGGTCTTCTGCAAAGTAGGAAATATGGGGCTGCTGTGGAGACTAAAGAAGGAATTAGTGGGGAAACTGAAGCCAGCTCCGTGCTTCACACCTGCCCAGGTCATAGTTATCCCTGACTGTGACACCCGCGCACCCAGCACCCCCTTCCCAGACCTGCCCTTCAGAGACCTGGGCTGCAGCTACCACTGCTGGCTTAGATGAGGAAAATGAGGCTCAGGGTGCCTGCAGGTCCTCAGCCTCCAGCTTCACTGAGAAGCAGAGGTCCCTGCTGTGTGTCTGCATCAGGGCCACCCCCATGAGTGCACCTCTGTCCTGTCTCTCTCTCAGGGCACAGCGTGGACCCGGGTCTGGCCGGTCTGCTGGGGCAACGGGCACCACGCTCCAGACAACCTTTCATGGTCACCTTCTTCAGGGCCAGCCCGAGTCCCATCCGTGCCCCTCGTGCAGTGCGGCCCCTGAAGAGGAGGCAACCAAAGAAAACCAACGAGCTGCCACACCCCAACAGACTCCCGGGGATCTTTGGTGAGGGCTGGGCAGGCCCTTGGTGGTCTTGCTGAGAGTCACTTGACCCTGTGTGCCAGAGTGGCAGGGAGGGCGGGCCGCAGTCCCAGGCATCTCCAGGACCAAGCAGGAGAGGCGTGGGGTGGCTGAGGGTGTTGTGGGGCTGCCTGTTGGAGGTGCTAGAGCCTCCCAGGCTGAATACAAGGCAGCTGCGGCTGGGCACAGGGCTGCAATTTATGAAAACCAAGGGTTTCGTTTTCTGTTGCTCATTTTTGACTGAGTCTGTGAGGGTACCCCGCACAGCCTGGGATCCCCCTTAGTAACTGCACAGAGCCCAGAAAAGACCTGTGCTGTCTGTCCCTGCAGATGACATCCATGGCTCCCATGGCCAACAGGTTTGCCGGCGGCATGAGCTCTACGTCAGCTTCCGGGACCTGGGCTGGCTGGTGAGTGTGACTCTCCTGACTGCCGTCCACTTGTGCGTCTCCAGGGAGGAGGGACGAGCACATTCCCTTCTTCTGGGGCCTCCAAGGTTTCTAAAGTGTGGCTGTGTCACTTTCATGGTATGATTGTGGCTTTTTATATACAAAAGAGCCACAAGCATGGGACTACTGAGTCCTCAGCTAACTAAACCCTCAGCCCTGCAAAAGGGAAAATGAGCTGGGTGGGCAGCGCCTCCAGGCATGTGCTGAGACTGCAGCTCCAGGATGGGTGGGCAGGTGAGACAGGCTGGGGTGCAGTGGGGACAGAGCTGGGGCCAGCCCTCTGTGTAAGGGTCATTGGATGGATGAGGCCTCTGGGGTTGGACACTGCCCAGGAGGGCTGAGAGTGGAATTGGGGGCCCGAGAGTGGAATTGGGGGCCCGAGAGTGGAATTGGGGGCCCAGAGGCTGAGGGAGCAGGTGGGGCTGCCTTGAGTCATCCTGAGACAGGTGCTGGGCTGGGGGCTCTGGGAACACACAGATGGGACTTACCTTCTCCATTTCCCCAGGACTGGGTCATCGCCCCCCAAGGCTACTCAGCCTACTACTGTGAGGGAGAGTGTGCCTTTCCGCTGGACTCCTGCATGAACGCCACCAACCACGCCATCCTGCAGTCCCTGGTCAGTACTGCAGCCATCCTGCCCAGCTTGCTAGTGGGGGCCCTGCAAATAGGGGGCTGGTCAGCCGAGAAGGAAGTGACAGCAGCTACACAGAGGGGCTAAATCTGCAGGGACTCAGTCAAGCAGATTGGACTCCACATGGTGGGGTCGGGTGGGCAGGTGGATCTGTGCATCCGGAGCTGAAAGTGAGACTCAGGAGTCCTGAGAGATGCAGCTCATGGATGGTCTTTAAGTCCCGAGAGCAGATGAGACCTCAGGGAGAGCCAGCAACCCCAAGAGCCTGGACAGGAAAAAAAGCCATGGGGGTGGTGGGGCTGGAGGGGGCCACAGCACAGAAGGGGAGGGAGCCTTGAGGTCCAAGGGCCGAGATGAGAAAGTGGGTCCCTGCAGGCTGACCTCTCACTGTTGCTGCCCACACGGTACCCGTGGGTCTTCCTACCACAGGGACCTAACCATGTCCTTCTCAGCCAGGAAACTGTGTCCTTCCTGTCATTCCCAGATGAGGTCAGCTGCCCCATCCAGTATCCCCCTGCCACAAGTGTTTTGATTTATTTTGTTTTTGACACACAGTCTCGCCACGTAATCCAGGCTGGCCTTGAGTTCACTGTGTAGCCCAGGCCAGGCTCAAGCTCATAGCAATCCTCCTGTCTCAGCCTTCTAAGTACTGAGATTACAGGCGTGTGTCACCACACCAGGCCCAGGTGTCCTTCTTGAATTCTGGTTGTTACCAGGGCTCCTGCTGCAGCTGCTGAGGACCTGCATTTGTCACTGGGTTGCTGCATGTATTCATAAAATGCTGCTGTTCAGGGCCTGGGAGTCTTGGGCTCCCCTCCTGGCTCATGTCTAGATATGTATGTTGGTAATGAGGTCAGTGTGATTCTACTTTTGGCAGAGAAAACTGTGGCCCACAGGCATGGGATGAACTCCACAACTTCCGGTTTCATTTCCCACTTGGTGTGTTACTCAGAAATGAATGGAATGGGGCCTAGGGGTGCAGCTCAGTGGTAGGGCCCTAACCTAGCATGGAAGGTTTCAATCCCCAGCTCTGCAAAAATAAAAACAAACACACAAAAAACCTCCCTGGAACAAACAAGCCAATGGTGGATGGATGGGACCATGCACAGCAGGAGTGGGGCTACGATGCCAGGTGGGTCACAGCCCCTTCCTTGGCGCGTCCCTGTGTGACGCTCAGGGCTGTAGAGGAGGCAGGAAGGCAGCACCCAGGGTGCCAACTTCTCTCTCCAGTGCCCCACTCAGGGGAAGCTCCTGTCCGGGCTGTGGCTACCTAGGGCCCATTGGTCCTCATAGGCACTGGAGCCTCCTAGTTCCAGCTGGGGAGCAGCAGTCCCTGGGCCCTCCAGAGGCCTGTGTGCCCCATGGCTCAGCAAGGCTACAGCCCACACCAAGCCCATCCATGAAGACCTCCTCACAGAGCAGCTTAGAACTGGGGGCACGAGAGGCAGCGTCCTCCAGACAGTTCCATCTGCGTCCTGGTTGGAGCCTCCTGGGAGCCCTGGGAGGGCCTGGGCCTCTCAACTGGCCAATATACACACAACAGAAGTGGATTCCTTCTCCCCTCTGCCCCACTGCCCAGTAGGTTGCAGTGCACCTCTCAGGGTCCTTTGTGAGGCCCCTTCAGCCCATATAAACTGCAGTTTCTCCCCGTCTCAGGGGTGTGTGCGTTAGGCTGAAAATAGCTCATAAAATCAAAGTCCTTCTGGTAGGAAAGCTGATTCAGAAAAGGGTAGCAGGATTCAGTGCCTGGTTCAAGTCCTGCCTCGCTGTCAGATAGCTGTGGGCCTCAGACCTTAGTGCCTCCGTTTGCTACCTGCAAGGATAATCGTTGTCTTGGGAGTTGTTAGGTGCAGGGAAACACATCAAGGGGGCTCTGGAGCCCTAGGTCTTATCTACTGGCCCTGTGTATGTTCCTGGCTTGCAGTCTGGAGGGGAGACAACCTGTCCACAGCTCAGGTTAGGACCCTGGGGATGTGGTTGTGGTGCAGAGAAGAGTGGGAAGCGGAGGCCTCAGAGAAGCTGGTGCTGCAGAGGGCGCCCAGGTGCAGTGGTTCTGGGGACCCCCAGGATTGTGCACATCGGGGTAGTGGATGTGGCAAGGCGTGGCTGAGGGGCCTGGAGAGCTAAGCGGAACGTGTCTGGGCCTGAGCAGTGCCCAAGAGTGGTGGGCAGGACAGGTGTGCACAGAATACCCTGGCTACAGGTATAGAATGACCTTGGGAGAGGCAAGGGGACTGAGACCTGCAAGATGGGTGGAGGATGACAAATACAGGACCTGGAGGGGCTGGGTGGGGCCTGGATGGGTGGGGCCTGGAGCTCCAGGCTCATGTCTCTGCCTGATCGCTCTCTCTGGCCAGGTGCATCTGATGAAGCCTGATGCAGTCCCCAAGGCGTGCTGTGCACCCACCAAACTGAGTGCCACCTCTGTGCTCTACTATGACAGCAGCAACAACGTCATCCTGCGGAAGCACCGCAACATGGTGGTCAAGGCCTGTGGCTGCCACTGAGGACTGCCCTCCTGTTCCGCTGCAGCTGTCTCTCCCTGACCAGGACCCTCTGCACAGGCAAGAAACCCTTAAACCCAACCACACATAAGGCAGGGTTGGCATGCAGGGCCTTCAGACCTGTGTCCCTGCCTCGTCATCCTCCTCAGAGATAATGCTTGGGCCTCTCCAGGGCCTGTGCTCAACTCTCCTGCCATGGAATGGTCAGATGGCCTTATCTCCAACCATGGTGGTCTGAGTCCTGGGGCAGCAGTTCATCCCGTCACCTCTAGGCTGTGGGCAGATGTGTGAGAGGTACCTGGAGCTCTAGATTGGCCATCTTGGGCTCTTTCATGTCCAGTATAGAGTTAGAAATGTGTGAGAAGCGTCTGGTCCAGTCATTCTTTACCTGCTTGCCTCTCCCACATGCAACACTGGCCGTTTCTAGAGAATGATGAAAAGCATGGACTTTACCTCAGTGCCTATTTATATATCTGAATTACCAAACCTCTGACCACAGGCATGTGGGTCAGCTCAAGAAAAAGATGCTTTGTGCCTGCCTCTGCTGCCTATAGAAAATGTACATGGATGGACATTTTGCTTTCGAGAAACAGAAAAATCATGGAGGCTTCCAGAGAACTCATCTGTTTGCTGCCATGTTCACCTGTTAGTTGAAGCTTGTGGGGAAGTGGGGAAGTTTCTTTTACACATAAGGTGATTGCACCGAGTGGCCCATGATGCCAATGGCCAGCACAGATGCCATCTCCCCTTTTCTTCTGCATGGCAAACATCAATAATCAATCCTGATTTTTTTTTTTTCTGAGTCTGAATTTCCAAATGATCCCACAACTCCAGGCAGGACTTCGGGACTCCAAAGTTGGCATGTGAAGCAAGAACTGTTTGCCATTTTCTGCAATGCATAAATGCAACCTGTATTTCTAGAGATGTATCTGCAATGCCAGGGAGCCTGTGAGCAGGTCTGGGTCCAGCCAGCAGCTTGGCAGCACTGCTTGTGTTGTCAGAAATGAGCTGATTACCAAAGTCTGCATCACCCTGGGTGTCCAGCAGCTCTGTCCCATTTCTTGCACCTGTGAGTCAAAGAATAACGCCCCCTCCAATCCCAGGGGAGTCACAGGGACTAATTGGCTGGGTTGGGTGAGGATCTTTGTCTCAGCCTCTCTTCTGTTTCTGGAAACCACTGTTCTCCTTAGAGCAGCTGCTGGGAGTTGCAGTGTTTGGTTTCAGATGGCTCAGCCTGTAATTTACCTGCTGAACAGACGAAGTACAGCTACCTGAACTGTGTCATTAAGAACAGGTCCTGGACCCGCCCCTGTCCCACACCCAGCCTCAACAGACCCACCTGTGAGCCCTGGGATACACATCTCTGGGGTTCAGGCTCTGTTCCTTGTGGATGGGTCTTGGGAAGGGGAGGTGTGGCAGCAGGGGATAGGCTGGGGCCACGCTGCAGGACAGCAACCCCAAGAATAATCTCCCTTGGCATTACCCTCTCACAAATGGAAAGGTGGGCCCAGACAGTCTGGAAGTTTCCCTGTCAGCTGGGGATCCAGCTCTGGGCTGGATATAAGGAGATCTGACTTGATCTGGACCTTTTCCCCTAACATGCGGGAGTTGGACTTCATGGTTTCCAAAGGACCTTCAGTCAAGGAATCTGGTCACCCAGACTGCAGGACAATGGGCTGGGATATAGCCTTAGGGCCCTGCATGTGGAGCCCACCCTTGTCTCTGCCAGCTGGCAGGTAACAAAAGACCTATTTGCTATTCTAGCACTTTGCTAACAATCTTCTCAACATCAAGGATTATCTGTTAGCTCAATCAACCAACTATTCTGACAACTGACTTTTTTACTTCTAATAACTTTAGTGCCCATCCAATGATCTGGCATACCATAGGTGGCACCAGGGACCCAGAGGTTTGTACGCACGGACCAGACCTTAACCTATCAAGCCACATAGCAGGTATGGATAGCAGTTGCCATCCTCATTCAGAATAAATGAAAAAACAAGACATCATCTAATTATCTTGCCATCAGACTTCTATTAATTTTTGCACCCAGATGGTCACAAAAGGAAATCAAATAGAAAAATCCCTGAACAGCAAAAGCCCATGTGTCTGACTGTAGTTGTTTGCTGAGCCAAGAATGGCAGCTGCACTGAGCAGCCCGCCTGGCAACACCCATGGCACTGTTTCCCCTTTCGTTGCTGAGTCAGCCTCTTTACCTGGTTGTCCCACACTAAGTTAAACCAGAGTGGTCAGTTCATATCCCCTGACAGCTGATAGGAAGACACAAAATTAGAAGTGCCTGGCACTGTAATACTCACCTTGGGCCACAGCCTCAGAGGACTGGTATTCACTGCCTTCTAAGAAAGTAACGTGTTCCTCAAAAACTCCTAAGCCAAGAAAACAATCAGTGCAGCCAGTCTTTGTTTGTTTGTAGATAGGGTCTCACTATGTTGCCCAGGCTAGCTTTGAAGTTGTAGTGGTCCTCCTGCCTCAGCCTCCTGAGTACTGGGATTATGGGCATGACCACTCTGCCCAGGAAAATGTCCAGATGGCTTTGATCCAAGTTCTGCTTTTTCCCTCTGGAAAGTAGGCTATTGGTTCTTCCCTCCTGTAAGTACTATAATTAAATGTGTGCAAGCACTTGGGCCATCTGACAAATACACAGTAACTGTGGTCATTATTACAAGATTTGCTCATTTGGGACCACCTCTGTGCCTGTCCATTAAACCAAAATATGTTTCACAAGTAATGGTATACTTATTTTAAGGCTGTGTTTTTTTCTAAAACATGCAACCTGGCTTTCCTTAGCGCGCAGGACCTCACCACCTTTACAGGCCCGATGAGTGTCTGGTAGGCAGGCTGTGAAACTGTGTTTGTTTCCATATCCCAGTGTACTGTGGATCATCCACATCCACACTCACAGGGCAATGTGGATGTGGGAATTGACCACCCAGGGTCTGACCAGTGAGAGACTTTATGCAAGCACTTGGACTTTTTTTTCATTTATTAAAATACAGTTTTGGAGGAATGTGGATAATACAAAAATAAAATATAATTCAAATCACCATAGTCCTATGACTCAGGATAAATATATCTAATATTTTTATCACTTTATTTCTAGGTTTTCTTAAAATACACATATAGCTGTTTATGTGTAATTTTACCAGACTGTACTATATAAATTGCTTTGTAATCTTTTTTTACTTTATTAGTGAAAATTTCTTAAGTTTTTGAAAACATAGCTCTTTAGTTTCTCCTGACTTGAACTGTGTTGTACAATTCCATTTTCACCAAGTAGTCTGTCCTCGTTCCTCCCTCAGGGCTTTGTATTTGCAAAAATAGGCAGTGGCTGGATTAGGGCATGTATTTTGCTAATTTGTCTCCTGACATAGTATCTGCACACAGAAAGCACTTTTGAGCTATAAAATATCATTTACAAAACCTATAAAAGTAAACATATGACTGAGGCTGAGCATATTCACTAGGAACAAGACTGGCAGTGGCTTCTCACCAGAGGCGAGGGAGCGGAAAACAAGAACTTCTGTACCATCTTTGATTGTCACTGCCCCTGCAATGCCTCACAAGGCATCAGGCATAAAGATGTATCACTGCCCCCTAAGGGGCAGCTGTTGCCCACAGAGGAAACAAAAACTGTGGGAAGGAACTGTGCCCTACTCACTTGCCAGCCTGTCTCAGGGGTACAGCTTAGCCACAGATGCTATCTCTGGCAGCTCCCAGGAACTCTCTGGAGGCAGCAATATTAGAATCAGGATTTATTTTAGCAAAGAAAGTGTCCAGGAGCCCCAGGTGGGCCAGGGCAGATCTGGGAAAGCCCATGGACACACTCAGCTGCCCTGGCTGCACAGGCAGGCTGCACCTGGCAGGAGCCCAGAATAAGCCCAGGCCGTGCTGTGGAGGAGCTGCTCCAAGCTGGCCCCGAGGAGGAGCTAGGACGCAGTGCTGCCTGCTCACACAGGACGCCCTCGGTGTCTGCTGAGCGGGCAGCTCCTTCCTGGGCACACAGGACGAGCTCGAGAGGGAGTGAGTGACACAGCCTCACATGTACTCCCCACAGTCGGCGATGATCACCTTCTGCTTTGGTTTCCCGTCCTTGCTGCCCTGGGCCTTTGTGGGAGAAACAGGAGAGGAGGCTGAGTCAGGGGAGTGTGTGTGTGGAGGAGATAAAGAGGCCGGGGAAACCCCCCTGCCCCTGGCCCATCTTCCCACTGGGCTGGGGTCCAGGGCCTGGGAAGGGGACCTGTTCCCCGCCACCTACTTCAATCTGCCGCAAGACATCCAGACCTTCGGTGACCTCTCCAAACACCACGTGCTTGCCATCCAGCCAGTCCGTCTTGTCACAGGTCAGGAAGAACTGGGAGCCGTTGGTATTTGGGCCAGAGTTGGCCATGGAGAGGAGGCCTGGGAGACAATGACCTGTCAGCTCCCTCTACCCCATCCCCCAGCCCTACAGGCAGGCGTGAGACAGCCTGTGTGCACATAGCCCTTCCACCACAGCCTCACCCGGGGCACAGACCTGTGGGTGCGCCCACACCGTGTCTGTCCATCAGTGAAACAGAGTAGTGGGCTGTTTTAATCATTTATACCAGTCTGTCTTTTCACGCGTTAATTTAACAATTCTTAAGTATAATTAGGCCCATTAAGCTCTGTGACACTGATGAGAAAACTTTACTGGAGTAAAGTTCAATCAGTGGAAAAGGGTCATTAAAGGACCGTGCGTGTCACGCTGCTGACCCACAAGGTGATGTGAAGGGACAGTTGTGCTGTATGGGTGGCAGAAGAGAGGAGTCAAGGGTGAGCCCTAAGTTTCTGATCAGCATGCAAATGGACATTGGTATCAGTAGTGTCAAAACAGGGAAGAGGAGGAGGAAGAGTGTGGAGAGAGGAGTAAGAGCTGTTTTGGCCCTGTGACGTTTGAGGGGCCCGTGGGATACCCAGTGAAGACCAGGGGAGGACAGCAGGACAGGAGCTCAGAAGACAGGGATCCAGGAGACTCAAATGTGGACAAAGTCAATGTAGATCTTAGTGAAAGCCCAGGGACTGAATATGGTTCTTTAGTGCAGTGACCAAGTGGGGTTGGTCACTCCCCAGGGCTGTTTAGACACTGAATGTGTTTTTGATTGTCAGACACACTGAGAGTTTAGTGCTACTGGCATTTAGTGAGCAAAGCACCAACTGCCACATATTCCCCAATGTCCTGACAATGAGGAACCTGCTAGTACTGGTCAAAGTAAAAATGTGTTCATAAATACCCGTACTAAGGTCTAATCCCAATGTTTTTGAGGGTTTTTATTTCCTATAGAATCTTCTAGGAATACAACTACTATATAAATCAACAGAAAATGTCTCATCCACTTGGAATCTCAGCCTTCTCTCTCACTTTACAAGCTCTTGTCACCTCACATCTCAGCAGCTGACTGACACCTGTCTGCATTTTTAACTGATGCAGCTGAGGGCAGGTACATGCAGCTGAGTAACACCTGCTTATCTCCTGGCATGGCTGTACTTGCACATTTACATCCAGAAACATTCTTTCTATTACTAACTTTCATGTTCTTTCCTAGTAGCTGAAGAACAGTATCAATTTCTAAAATGTCTAGGGCAGGTAAGCCATAGCATCTATGCTTTTCCACTCAGCACAGTAAAGAAGGGTAGTACAAACTACCAGAAAAAGGAGTAGGGAGCAGAGTCCTATGGAGAAAAAAGGCTGAGCTTGGAGCCACTTTAATTTTCAGAGGTCAGGAAACGGGAGATGGCAAAGTCAGAAAAAGCTGCCAATTAAGTAACAGGAAACCAGAAAAGGGAGGAGTCCTGCCAGCAAAGTGAAGAAAGCTGCAAGGAGCAGAGGGTAATGGTACAAATTGCTGTTGGCAGGTGGAGTAAGATGAGGACCAACAACAGGCTGCTGGCAAGATGGAAGCAGTTGGCATCTTTGATAAAGAGTGGTTGCAACATGAGGCAGGATTAGAAGCCTGGCTAAAAAGGTTTAGAGAATGAAGACAATGACTCTACACTTTTCAAGTGTAGTCTAAATTGTTTGTTCTGTTTTGTATTCAGAGACAAGGTCTCGCTCTGCAGTTCAGGCTGGCCTTGAATGCATTAGTAACCCAGGCTGGCCTCAAATTTGCAACGATCCTCCTGTCTTAGCCTGAGTGCTGGAATTACAAGCATGTGGCATCATGCCTGGCAGTCTAAACTTTTTCAGGTTTTACTAAAGTAGACCAATGGCAGACACAGTGGCACACGGTTGTAATCCTATGCAGGAGGCTGAGACAGAAGGACTACATGTTTGAGACCAGAGTAGCCAATTTTGCAAGCCTCCGTCTCAAAGTAAAAAGGGGTGAGAATGTAGTTCAATCATAAAATAAAGGATGTTGCCTAGGATGTTGTAGGCGCTGGGCTTGGTCCTTAGTACTGCATTAAAAAAATAAAAAGGGGGAAAAAATAAAAGGAGATCAGAAATATGGGTGATAGCTATGGGGGGATATAAGTCCAAGGATGCCTTAGCGGCATAAGCGCCTGCCTTGCATGCAGGCAGTCGTGAGTTCGATCCCTGGTACCGATAAAAAGGAAAAAGACAAAAAGAAAAAAATTTGTTTTGAGACAGCGTCTCACTATGTATTCCAGGCTGCCCTTGAAATCATGGTAACTGTTCTGTCTCAGCCTCCCAAGTACTGGAATTACAAAGATGTACCACCACAGCTGGCTATACGTTTTTACCAGTCCCTTTGAGGGAAGGTTGTTTGTTTTTATTTTGTATGGTACTAGGGATTAAACCTAGAGGGGCCCAAACATTTTTATTTTGAGGCAAAACCTCACTAACTTGCCCAGGCTGGCCTTAAACTTGCTGCCTTTATACCTTTTTTGCTGGTATTCTCCACCAAGCTCTCAAGGATGCTTTTTAAAAAGACTGGTACTGCCAGGTATGGTGGTATATGTCTGTAATCCCAGCACTCGGGAAGCTGAGGCAGGAGGCTTGCCATGAGTTCAAGGCCAGCCTGAACTATATATTGAAACCTGTCTGAAAAAAGCCTGAACAAAATAAATTAAATCCAATATAGGTACTGATTATAAGCTGATGGAATGATTTGGTACAGCAGGGCAAGCAGATTATAGAGGCAGAGGAAAACATTAGCCAAGTTCCTAAGTAGGGGAGGGGATGGGATAGAGTCCACAGCACAGCAGCTGGCCTTTGTGCCTGGGGGATAGTCAGAACATATGGATGTGGGGAAAGGTGGGTGGTGAGACACCAGGCAAAACCGGAGGGTGCTCAAGAGGCCTCGGCAATGAAGGCAGGGATGGAACTGTCATCTCTGATGGGACTGAGCATCAGCAAGGGAGAGCTGCTTGGAACTGCAGCCGTAAAGTTCATATGGATCATGCAGGACAATTCTGTGTTTTCCTCTAGTTGCAGGAGGACCAATCACTGAGATTTTACTAGGCAAGTCTGACAAGGTGGGGGAGAAACAAAGGGGTTCAGGGCACAAGAGACAGCTCACAATGGCACATCCCAGAGTCGAAGCTAGGCTAGCAGAAGTGTGACATGGTTGGAAACAGACAATGCAGAAGGTGAGCAAGTGAGGTCATCCCAGTCTTCCCTAGGCTCCTGCCTCACAGCCAGAACCACAGCTCTCCCCCAGCCCAGCCTGGCCTCACTTGTCCCCACTCCCCACACCTTCTACCTGGTCCTGTGTGTTTGAGGATAAAATTTTCATCATCAAACTTCTTCCCGTAGATGGACTTGCCCCCGGTGCCATTGTGGTTTGTGAAATCCCCACCCTGGCACATGAACTGGGGGATGATGCGGTGGAAGCTGCTTCCCTTGAAGCCATAGCCCTTTTCGTGGGTACACAGGCAGCGGAAATTCTCTGGGGTTGAGAAAGGACAAAGTGCTGAGGTTAGAAGAGAAAACCAGACAAATAAACACTCTAAAATGTTCTCTTTAATGTTTAAATGTTCATCCTTTGGTATTCACATGGGATTGATTCTAGGACCCTTTGGAGATAACAAACTCTGGGGATACTCATACTCAAAAGTCCCTTATAATCTATGCACACATACATACACATATGCATATGTACTTCAGGCAGGCCTTGAATTCATTCTGTAGCCCAGGCTGGCCTCGAACTTGGGACAATCTTCCTACCTCAGCCTCCTGCGTGGTGGGATTACAGCTGTGTGCCTTCATAGAGTACTCTCTTTATATCTGAAATAACTTCTAGATAACTTACAGTACCTCATACAATGAAAATGCTACATGAGTAGCTGGTATATTGTATTGTCTAGGGAAAAATGACAAGAAAAAAATGAAGAGTTCAGCATAGGCTGGGTGTGGCGACGCATGCCTATAACCCCAGGATCACTGAGTTCGAAAATCTTCATGGCTTGGGATTTGGTGATGGTAGTTTAACTATGACTCCAAAGCATAGGTAACAAAGGAAAAATACATTTCATCAAAATTAAAAACTTCTATGCAAAGGAGGACTCTAATCAATACAGTGAAAAGCAAACCACAGAATGGGAGAAAATATGTGCATCTATATTCGATAAGGGTTTAATCTCCAGATGTATATACTAAACCACTATAATTCAACAACAAAGCTGGACATGGTGGTGCATGACTGTAATTCCAGCACTTGGGAGGCTGAGGCAGGAGGATCACAAGTTTGAGGCCAGCCTTGGGCTCTTTACTGAGTTGAGGCTGATCTAGACTACAAAGGAAGATTGTGTCTGAAACAAGAACCAAAAAAACAAAAATATACCAATACAGTTAATAAATGGACCAAAGAGTTGAAGAAGATACACAAGTAGGCAATAAATTCCCAAAAAGATGCTCAACAGCTATGAATCACTAGGGAAGTGGAAATCAAGACCACAATGAGATAACCACTTCCCAAGTGCTGAAAAAGATGGAGAAATTGGGAAACTCCACACGTTGTTGGTGGGAATGAGGGTAATGACACATTTAAAAATGGTGAGTGCAATCAAAATAAATAAGGAGAAGGGGAAAGTTAGGTGTGGCAGTGCATGCCTATAACCCCAGCACTTTGGCAGGGTGAGGCAAGAGAACTATAGGTTCAATTTCTGCCTGGACAACTTAGCAAGACTGTCTCAAAATAAAAAAAGGCTAGGGTTGTAGCTCCATAGCAGAGTGCCAATGAGTTTGAGTCCCAGTAGCATAAAACAAACAAACAAAAATGGGGAGTGGGGGAGACAACAACAACAGAAAAATTTGAAAGCTAGATAACAAATACACAAGTTATTACTGACTTTACAGATCTGAGAAAGCTGAATCTCAAGCTAGTAAAACCCAACAAACAAGTCAGTTTATATTCCAAACACTCAGATGTAAACCTGATGGTAATTCTGAAACAGCAAGTCGGGGTGACCCGTGTTTAAAAGAGCAGTGGACTTCTAAGAGGCTTTCCTTGGTCCTGCGGGTCAAGGCTGCTCCTCCTCTGCCCTGGAATACAGTGGAGGCCCACTGGCTGGTGGCTGAAAGCAGGACTCTGGATCAGAACACCCTAAACACAGAGGAGGCTGAGGTACCATCATACAAAGGGAAGTGGAAGTTTATAGACTGAATCTCCTGTCTCCTCACTAAGATGGCAAATGGCTGGATGCAGAGCCTTCAGTCTGGGAGAGAATCAAGAAGGCAGTACGAATCCAGGGAAGTGGGTACTACAAGGGATTTTAAAAAACTAATTCCTTAGGCGGATGCAGTGGCAGAAAGATGACACATGTGAGTGCCACTTGGGCAACTTTTAGTGAGTTCCTGTTTAATTCCCGTATGGTGGGGGGAAAGTGAATTCCTGAAACAGAAAGTCAAAAGATAATGTCTAAAATGAAACAAACAAACAAATCAAAATACTACAAATACAAAACATCTACTCATACGAAGTAAAAACCAAAAGAACTGGAGAATATCTGAACTCAGCTGTCTCCAAGGAATAACAAGTCGTGTTGAAATGGGCAGGGTTCAGAGACAGAGTCGGAGGACGGCTGGGGTTTTTTTTGTTTTGTACATGTCTGCCACATATAACGATCACATTCACTGTAGGAGAACCACTGTTTTTATTAAAACAAACTTTTGAAACTGACTCTGTCAGGGGCATTAGAACTGAGGCAACAAGAACCCCAGGAAGCCACTGGTTAGTTACCCACTCACCACCCTGACCGCAACAGGGCCCTGCTCACCCGCTGTCATGGGCACAACATCAGAACGCAGGAGCATCTGGATGCGGCCGGCTGGCTTGTTCCCAATCTTGATGTCCATGTACACCTGAGGATTTGACCGGGCCTTTTTTGCAGGGGGCTCTCCCTAGGTGCAGAGGAAACTGTTAGTTAGAGATCACTCTCTGACTCCCCAAGCAGGAGTGCAAATATTGTTCTGCACACACCCAGAACACAATACCAGTGGGAAGGCTGGGCAAATGTGCTGAAGGGAAGGTACCAGGCCTCGATGGGGCTGTGCGAGGGGGAGCCCACTGCACTCAGTCTGTTCTGAGACATGGCCACTCACTCTCCCCACCCTGCAGTCCACTCACAGGACATCACCCATCCTCGACCCCCAGCGTGAGCCCACACGGTGCACTCCTTAGTGGACCCACTTGGGTCCTGTCAGCTCCTCCCTCCAATCCCAGCCTGCACTATCATAGGCCGGCACACGAAAGCAGGGGGAGCTGTCCTGTTCAGGCCTAAGAGCTCAGAGGATGGTGGAGGTTGGCACACTGCTTTGGGCTCCAAGTTGGTCAGACACCTGGCTATCTGGCCTTAACTTAAAAGAAGGCTGAGGATGACCTACTGGGATTCCACTGACTGTGAGGGACACTTCAAGCATTCTGCTGTACATCTAAATTTCTGGCTTGGGAAAATAGTGGCAAATTAACCAAGAGTGAGAACACAGAAGATGGGAGTAGAGAAAGGGAAGGAGGTCCATTCTAGGCAACTTTAAGGCACCTGTGAGAACCTGCGGGATGAAATATCTAAAGCTTAGCACTAGAAACACAGGCCACAAAAGTCAACAGCATAGGAGGTACTGCACGCTCAGAGAATGACTACTGGCGAAGACAAAAGTTGCAAGAAGAGAGAACTGTTGCAAGCCAAAGATGAAGCACAGAAGGCTGATGAAGCTCACAAGGATGTAGAGGAGGGAAAGCCCAAGAAGCACTGGTCTGGAAGGTGTGCTGGGAACCAGGGAAGTGCCAGGAAGGGCTCTCCTAGTGGGGAGAAGCTTGATCCCACTCTGGCTGAGGGGAGGGTCCACTACTCTGTGTCTCCCCTGTGACAGGGCAGACACAGGCGACTGTCTGGCACCAGACTCCTCAGTGCAGGAGCAGCTGCCAGGCAGTGTAAGGAGTACCTTGGACTCCCTCATTTCAGATGGTGCTGCAAATCTGCGGCACAGACACAGATAAGGGGTCTCCCTTTTATTCACTTAACACTGCCTTCACCAAAGTGCCACAGTCAGTATCTAGCTTCTGTATTTCTATAGTACATATTTGCAATTTCCATAAAAACTTTAAGAAGATGTTCCCTATGCAAAGTGTCAGTTCCTCTGGAAGCAAGAGCCTTCTTCCTCACCTTTTGGGAGGCCAGGTATAATGGTGCATGCCTGTAATCCCAGCACTCTGGAGGCTGAGGCAAGATCACTGTAAGTTCCAGGCCAGCATGGGCAACACAACGAGTTCAAGATCTGCCTGAACCACACAGTGAGTTCAAGCCCAGCCTACTATGTAGCAAGACCCTGTCTCAAACAAAAACAAAAAATAAACAAAAAAGCTGGTGTGATGATGGCACATGCCTATAATCCTAACACTCAGAAGACTAAAGCAGGAGAATTGTTGCAATTTTGAGACCAGTCTACAAAGTGAGCTCAAGACTAGCCTGAACTACATAGTGAGACCCTGTTTCAAAAAGACAAAATAAATAGATCGATAGATAAAATTTTTTTTAAAAGTGCTAATCTCACCTCCTGGGTTTCTGCTTTGGGAGTTTCTGTCCCTTCTTCCTCTTTATTCTCTTCAAGAGTCTTCCCAGAAAACTTCTTTAGCCAGTCATCGTCTGACCAAACTGAAAGGAAAGAATCAAACTCATGTCAAGAAAGTCGAACAACTGGGCCTGTGTCAAGTAGCTACTTTGGTCAGTGAGATGGAAAATTTATGTCACCCTTTCAGCCAAAGGAGTCCTTCTGGAGAGCTCCCAAGGGCAAGGAAAATTCCCACTGGGAAAAATCCCCTGAGCTCCAGCTCTTAAAAGAATTAAATTTAAAAAAATACTAAAGGCAAAGATACGCCTTTGCTGACTCCAGACCCTAATGGGGCACTCTTGAAATAATATCTTTGCTGGTTCCAGACCCTAATGGGGCACTCTTGAAATAAGAGTTCTGAGAAAACTAGGAAGACAAAGGGCCAGGAAAGATTTCTCTCATAAAAGAAACAATTACACATCAAGATGATATACACTCTTTGCCACTGACTGCTATAAAGTAGCATTTAGCAACAACTTCCTAGTAAATGGGGATAAAACACAACTAAGCCATAACTGGAGGACAGAGTAGGGATCTGTGAGTTGCTCCTGCTCACCTGGTCTAGAAGAGCCCTCTTTAATTCTCATTGGTTTAGCCAAATTGACACGAATTGTCCGTCCAAAGAGCTCAGATTCATTCTGAAAAAAACGATACTCCAGCTACTTAAACTCTACCAGATTTTTTAAAAGTCAGTTATTTCTAAAACATGTTCATGATTTCTCCTTCTTTGAGTCTGAACACCTAACAGCAAGTTACATCCTCAACATAAAGGACCTATCATGGGAGGGTGGAACTGTCAAACACATCCTTCTGCAATACCAGCAAAGGTTTGTACTACCAAAAGGAGCTCTGAGCTCTGGGCAATGGGACAAGGATAAATGCATTTTCTTAAAACTCAAGTTCTTCAAAAGCCCAGATCAGATTTATAATGGTGAAAAATAATCTGTCTCTAACAGCTAATGAATATAGTTGGTGAATGGATAACACAGAACAGGGAATAAAGGAAAACTTCATTATCCAAAGATAATTTGCACCGAGAAAGGTCACTTAATATAAATCCACTTAAGGCAGTAAGGAAAATTTCATAGCAAAAGGGAAAAAGAGAATTTTTCTTTTTGACTATGACTTTGTGATACAACTAGACGTAATAAAAATGTAAGTTTCTTAAAGTTATTATTCAGGATGAACTATGCATTGCTTGATAATACAAACATGTAACAAGCACTTCTTAGTTTGAAGTATTTTTCCCAACAAAATTCTACCAACAGTATGCATTTTGATTCTGACATGAAAATTGCATGTAAGGAGCTCAAGGAGGGCACAAATACTGAAGAGCACCATCATTTTTTAAGGACTCTCCCAGGTTATTTGAATCACTTACATCAGCAGCATACCCTGTCATTATCCTTGAGTTTCTCTTCTCAGTTATTAACTAGTTGAACACTTGATGAAATTCTGCCTCTTTTGCAAAATAAGCAGTTTCAGTTCAATCAATCTACATTGTGTTTGTAATTTATTATCTTAGACATCAGGAAGCCAATACGAAATAGCCCAACATTGATTATTAGAACTTACATTATTGTTAAATGGGGAAAGAGGTATGAATAAAGAATAATTTTATAAGTACTCAATTGACAGTGAATATTTTCACAGTACAGAATTTTTACTACCTTACACAACCTGACATTCTATTTTAAGAAAACCAATATACAAACAAAAACCTTTGTACCACCAAAAGCAATTTCAGTTAGAATGAGATTTCCAGTCATACCATGTTGTCAATAGCTGCTGCTGCATCCTGCAAGACAAGGTATATGTTTAGGCTTGTAGCTGAACGTTTTTTGTGTGCCTAAACACATACAAACACACACACACACACACACAGTAACAAAGAATCAAACAGGAAAAAGTCACGCCTGTACTTCTTGCCTACACTGTATGTGTGTCTAACAAAGTCCACTTCTGAGCTGACTTTTAAACTGGTAGGGCTACAGCGTGCTATTCAGCTGAAGACACAAAGAATGTCAGGCCAAAAATGCTCAATGAACAGGGCTACAGGAAAGCTGTGCAGAACACACAGGGCAAGGCCTGACAAAAGGTTTGTGACATTTATTATTCACAGTCCACAGTCTGATTAAACCACAGAAGCTTTCTCCAATCAGCACTTCTGAGTCACACACCTATAATCCCAGCATTCAGGAGGCTGAGCCAGGAGGACCACTGCAAATTTGAGGTCAGCATAGGCTATATATTCAAGACCAGCTAAACTATATAGTGAAACCCTGCCTCAAAAAGAGAAACACAAAAAAATGAAAAAAAAAAACAAAAAAAACAAAAAAAACCCAGCACTTTTGATCTCTCTGGAAGCATCAATCTAAGGCCCAGAAAATTTAGCTAAAAACATGACAGCTTCCTTTACAGTTAATAATGATAAACATAAACCAGACTATATAGAGATAGCACAGAATTTTCTCACCTCTGCCAACTCAAATTCAACAAAAGCAAATCCTCGGTGCTTTTCTGAAAAAACAAACAAACAAACAAAACCCCAAATAATTACCAGGTGCGCTGCAATGAGAAGAAAGAGAATGGTCACAAAGAAAGTGAAGTCAACTATATGTCATTCAGATACTAGAAATTCTATTCAGTTGCTATTTAAGAAGGAATCTTTTTTTTTTTTTTTTGGTACCAGGAATCAAATTCAGGACTTCATGCTTGCCAGGCATGCCCTGTGCCAATGAGCTAAATCCTCAACCCTTAAAATGGAATCTCATTCCTTGATTCCTCTTAAGCAATAATAAACTTAATTAATGGACATAACTAGTACACTATGTTTTTACTCTTTAAAATTGGCATTTAATTCTAGTACAGCCAAACTTAAGCCTTAATCTTGGCATGCAAGATAACTAGAAAAGTGAAGTCATTTTCACATATCAATTACTCATCCACACCACAATTTGAGCATCCACTGGACATGATCCATAAATTGTAAAACCATGTAAGATATTCAGATTTTAGGCAAATGTTGATCTAACTAGAAAGGCCAAACATGACAGTGTTAATTCAATGACAGTATTCAGAGACTAGAAAGGCCCTGGGAAAGCTAACATAACTTTATTGTTTTTTGCAAATAAAGATTCCCTAGGCCCAGAGAGTTTAATGACTGCTAATGATCACCTGCAAGGTTGACAATGACAGAGCTAGGCCTAAAACTCTTACTTAAAAATTACAATAAAGATATAATAGAAAACTGATGCCAGCTGAAGGACAGCCTTCCAAGTACATAGAAGCCAAAGCCTCAATGCAGGACCAGGCTTTCCTGCTGCCCCATTTGTTAGCACAGCTGCCAAGAAAGGTACAGGTGTGATGAGGAACCCAACAAATAGTTTGAAAGAACACTCAGACCTCAATGCAGTTCATTCCTATTTGTCCACTGAAAAAATTGACAAATTTCAAATCCAGAAAAATGGAGACTGCAGTTTACAGTCCACCACCACACAGCCTGAGACTAGTCTTTCAGTAGCCAGGGACATAGCTCAGCGGCACACCACCTACCTAGCAAACGTGAAGTTTTGAGTTTGATTCCCAGTACCAAAAAAAAAAAAAAAAAAAAAAAAAGTCTTTCAGCATCAAGATCAGTCATGAGAAGCACCTAGAGAAGCACCTTCGGTTCTTTCTTTTTTTTGGTACCGGGATCGAACTCATGACCTCGCACTCGCAAGACAGGCACTTTTGCCGCTGAGCTAAATCCCCAGTCCACCTTCTGTTCCTATATACCAATCATATTTAAAATGCACTTATATTTATTGTACTGAGGATTACACCCAGGGCTTTGCTTGTGCTTGGCAAGTATACTCTCCCAATGAGATGCTCCCAGCCTGAGCCATATATATTCAGAACTGTAATGTGATTTTAATTTTTTTAGTAAGTGTTTTCCTTAGGTAGGTGAGATCTGAACAAGACACACACCAAAATTCACCTGTTTCATAATCCAGAGGAATCTGAATATCTGTGATGTCTCCAAAAGGAATAAAAGCAGCATGTAGAACTTTGTCATCCACCTCTTCTGCCAGCCCTCCTGCAAACAAGTTAAGAGCTTTCTGAACCACCATCCTCAATAATTTTGCAGAAGTCTTTGCAGCCAATTAGCATGTAGCCCAAGGGAAAGGGTCTTTTCATCTAGTCCTTTGGTCACACAGACATCTCTCATCTACTGCCCACTCACACATATGAAGCTAATTTCTTTATTCTTCTTTCACACTTTCATTTTCAGGATTCCTGCAATAGTTTCATAACTACTGCCTCCATCTTCCCTGTCAGCTCCACAAAGCAAATCAGAGAGCTCTTGGGAAAATGCAAATTTGGGCCTATCATTTCTGCTTAAACTCTTTCACAGGTTTCTCACTGTCCCCAGGACAAAGTGTAAACTCCTTAACCATGTACACAACCTTCCTGTGTTGTGTACAAAGCCTTGTTTACCTGTCCTGTATCTTTCACTTTGTCCCTCTAATTTCCCATTTCCCTGGGTCAGTGTCAGACGTTTCAACATCTTTGGGTTTCTGCTCTTGCGGCAATAAATAGCTTTGTCTCTACGTGGCTCCCTGGCTATCTTATCAAATCTAGCATCACCGCATCCGCAAAGGTTGTTGTCGCCTCTCCTGATGGATAGGTCATTTCCTTCCGCATCTATGCCCGTTATCCTCGTCCGTCCCCACCACAGCGCTTACCGAATTGTGATACTGACTTTATTCCCACTGGCCAATATGGGTACTCCTTCCTCTAGGGCAGGAGTTGAGCCACTGCTGCACTGAATGTATATAAATGAATGGGCGTGAGGGTTTGGAAATCTATATTCCTCTACAATTTCTGAAGGCCCTTAGCGGACTAGGAATGAAGCCGGAAGGACCCGCTGTTTCGAGCTTCTGTCATGAACCAAAGCAGTACTGCCACAGACCCGGCCTTGACTGCTGCTCGCCACCCACCCATCCAGGGACTCGTCCCTCCCCGAGTACCGCTCCCCCACTAGGGATCCATTCGCCAAGACTCCGCCTAGCTCCCCGCGCTTGCTCACCCACGTACAGCACGCGCTTCGTAGTGGCCATCTTGCTCCAGCGCGCTTCCGCCGGAAGCTGGCGTTAGACCCGCCCCTCTCCCTGCCTCGCCCCCTACAGTCCCCGCCCCCATCAAATTGCCTCAGACCCGCCCACTCCCGCTTTGGTGTTCCGCAGTGCTGTGTCCTTTCAGCATCCCCCGCGGTGAGAGTGCTTTGTGCGCGAAGACAGGTGTGAACCTGGCCCTCCCAGTGCCGGCGGTGCTGTGGGAGTTAAACCGTGGCCTAAACAGCAGGAATATTATCAACAAACGATCAACTGCAACTAACCTATGACTCACCTAGGCCACCCGCCGCCTATTTTTTAACAACCTAGGAGCTAAGAATCGTTTGTACCTTGTGAAATAATGGGGGAGGGGAGATAAAAACAATAACACTTAATACATGAAATTATTTGAAATTAAGATACCGTGACCTAAAGTTTTATTGGAACACAGCCATTCACATTCCTTTAAGTACTATGGTCCATGACTACTTCATGCTACAAGGATAGGCCACCTATGGCCTGCAAAGCCCATGATATTCATCATGGGACCCTTTAGAAAAAAATTTATGGGGGCTGGATTTAGCTCAGCGGCATAACGCCTCCCTGGCAAGCACAAGGTCGTGAGTTTGATTCCAGTTACAAAAAAAAAAAGAATTTGCTAACCATTGGGCAAACCATATAGTGCATAAATGCAGACTGACATAACAGGTGGAAAATAATGTGGTCATCTATTTTAGATAGAGCAGGGTATGAAGACTTCCCTGAAGTGATATTAAAATGAAACATGAAGGAAAAAGGGGATAGAGAGTGAAGGAAGCAGGGAAAAGAGTTCAAGAGGCAGCTAATGCACACTCAGGGAATAAAAGACAAGGAAGCGGAGAACCTGAAATCTCTTGTGGGCTAAGCCCTTAAGCAACAGGGTCTGCATTAGCTCAGAATTAAGTTGAATTGAATAGTTGGGCATCCAATTTGTGTCACAGAACTGCAGAATTGATTGGCATCAGGAAAAAAAAACCCCACACAGTGGGAAACTGTTGTTTGCCCTTTATAATTTACATGCTCTCCTTTCTCCTTACTAACTTCAAATGACAGGTAAGGCACAAAGGCAGCTTTTCGCTTGACTGTCACCCTCTGCCTTCCAAACTGAAAGCCAAAGCTATAGGGTCTGAGAAGCAGCTCAGGTTGGAGTGGAAAGACTTGGGGACCTCCGCAGCATTCACAAGCATGGAGTTCCCATGATCTTTCTAGCCAGGTTCAAACATTATTTGGATGCAAGAGCAAATGTTCTCCTGTGGGCAGGCCAGTTGATAAAAAGCCAAGGCAAATCTTAAGTGAGAAATGGACCCTGGGCACCAGTTTCTGGCCCCTCTTCCCGTGAAAGCTTGTGGGACACTCACTCAGATCTGCTTCTGCTCCAGGCAGCATGGTAGCCAGCATGGAAATGGACAAGGGCCACAGGCTGAGGGCCACAGGCTGGGGTGCTTGGGAACGGGGCAAAGCAGTGGATTAGTACTAAGGAAAGGGTCCTGGATGATGGTAAGGCTAGGTCTCTGTAACAATTTGACACCTGAATGGTACCACTCCACATGCTAGGGGAAGGGGAGAAAGGCAGCAGCTTCTGATCAAATGTAGTCCATGTAGAGGGAGCCGTGCTAATGTAGAACTTATCTAGGTTCCCACGTACATTTATAAAAATGCAGCACAATCAGAAAGGGGAAGTGAAATGAACTATTCAGGACATTCAGTGTCAGGCCTTATGCTTGGGAGGTATTTCCACAGACATTTGCGGGGATGGGGGTACTGTGAATCGAACTCAAGACCTTGTGCTTGTTAGGCAGGTGCTGTGCCACTGAGCTATATCCCCAACATCCATAGATATTTAGTCTGTGTCCAGCACCAACGAAACTTTTTCAGGTACAGATTAACACCCTATTTTATGCATGACACCCAGTGAAGTCAGGCAATTTACTCACATTAGCACAATAATAATAATAATAATAATAATAATAATAATGTTTGTGCATTATAAAGAGCTATAGTAACTATCTTTAACGTTTTTCTAAAGACCACATTGCCCCCTTAGAAAGATTCTCAGAAGTGACTGTGTTAGAAGGTATGAATATCAGAACAGTAAAAATGATTGTGTACCATGCTATCTCATTAAATACTCCAGAAATGTTAGCACATAATGTCAGCGATGAGCTCAAGACTAGAAACAGATCCCTGAAGACAACAGGAAGGATTCATCTTTTCACGTGGAATTAATTTTTGGAAATTCTGTAGAGAGCTTCAGATAGGTGAAATGAATGGGAGAGTGGGAAGCATTATGTTCTTTATTTCCCTAGGGAGCAGTTAGCCATCACAATCACACTTAGCACAATTTATATTTGTATTTGCTCTTTACATCCCCTTTTCTTCTTCCAACGAAAAAGTATTTTGAGAGCAGGAACCATGTCAGTTTGTTTACCCCCGTAACTCCAGCCCACTGTGCATTGCCTTGGCATTTAGTAGAGTTTTAATATCTGATGAATGAAGTAGAGAAAAGCTTCTTTCAAATAAAGTCAAGATGGAAAATTCTATTCTTAGCACATTGGGTGCTTTGGCCTCCCCCACAGAGACTGAATCATAGGCCGTGGGCTGCCAACGTTGGAGGTGTGTTTATACAGAGCAACAGCCCAGGGAGGAGTAGAAAGGGTAAGTGTGGTGACTCGGGTACCAAGAGCTGCACATCAGTGAACTCCCTAAAGAAAAGAACAAACTAAATGGAACCCCATTGCTTCTGGAAATCCAGTTTCCAGGAATCATTTTTTGATTCGTAACTGAGGCAGCCCTCACGGAGACTGAGGGCCTAGAAGCTGAAACATTCTAGCTGCCAGCCAGGGACATTTTTCTCCACTGGCAGTAGGAGACAGAGATGTCCAAGTCTGCCAGAACCTAGAGCTGGAGGTCACGTTTCCTGTCTCACATTTTATCTCACAGCACTGGATTGGCCAATGCCTAGACTCCTATCTCCTAGGTGTAACTGGTTCCATATCCTAAGACAGTGGTCCTAAAACCTGAGCCTGCATCAGAATCATCCAGAGCTTATTCAAACTCAGATGTCTGGGCTCCACTCCTGATTGTAGGGCTTGGGTAGAATCAAGAATGTCCATATTTAACAAAATGCCAAGCCCATGGAAGCTGGTAGTCTAGGGGTCATGCTTTGAGAGCTACTTTTTCTAAGGAAAGTAGTAGCATATTAAGAACAGGGCAGTAGAAGTGGTCCATTATGGGTGCAATCAAAAAAGTAATGTGTGTGTGTATGTGTTGGTACCAAGAACCAAGAATCTTGCACGCACCAAGCAGGTGCCATGTCACTAGCTATATTCCCAGCCCATGTAGAGCACTTTAAAACAACGGTAAAGGAATTTATCAGGGCACAGTGGTACACACCTGTAGTCTTAGCACTAGGGAGTAGAGGAAAAGCTGAGGCAGAAAAAGTGCTGTGAGTTCAAAGCTGACCTGGGCTACATAGTGAGTTCAAAGCTAGCCTAAACTATGTAGTGAGATCCTGTCTCAAAAAAGTCCCACTTTTTTTTTTCAAAGCTTTGGAAATTGATTAATTGTACCTGACAAATCATGAAATAAGGCTGAGCTTCAGGCAAGAAGATCAGGACTCTAGCCTTCTTGTCTGGGGCTGCTTGCATCTCTCTCCTCCACTAGCACCTACAGCGCAGCAGTGGCCCCCTGGAAGGGCTGTTTGTGAAAACCAGCAGCTTTGCTGCTGCTGCTGCTGCTGTTTAAAAAAACCAACCTGACTTAGAATGGGGGACAAAATCATGCCCAAATGTGTGTGTGTGTGTGTGTGTGTGTGTGTGTGTGTGTGTGTGTGATGCTGGAACTGGAAACCATGACCCAAAACATGCTAAGCAAGCACTCTAACACCAAGCTACAGTCCCTACTCATGACAAAGTGATATTGTCAGTAAAAATATTAAACTCTGTAGGAACTGAATGGAGAAAGCCCTGTCTCTGTAGCCTAACATTGTAGAAATGAGTAGGGAAATCTTAGGTATGAGAAAGCTGTGGAGGGGCTGGATGAGCACCTCTCGCATCCCTGGCTACCTTGAAAGCTGCATCACACACGTATTCATACGACTTCCTAGTGGACTTGGCTGAGCACAGCTGTGAGGAAGCGCTTGGAAGGCCTAGTGGAAAAACAAAGCCTGTGGAGGACTTGGAACTACCTGAACTTTCAGTGCACCCCGCAACCCACATGCAGATTTATAGGCAAAGAGTGGAAACTTTACTGGCACTAGGTATTTGGGCAAAACCTCTGACTAATCACTGGTTTACCACTAAAATATTTAGACACAAGGATGGCCTGTGGGAAGCCAAGATAAATAAGAATTAAAAAGCACCAACCAGCTGAATGTGGTAGCGCACACTTATAATTCCAGTACTCAGGAGGCTGAGGTAGGAGGATCATTGCAAGTTCGAGCTCAGCCTCGGCTCCAAAGTGAGTCCAAGGCCAGCATCCACTACATAGCGAGATCTTGTCTCAAAAACAAAACAACAACCAAGAATCATAACTCTAGAACAAATGCTGGGTAGACAGATTCTATAGATTTACTCCAGGCAATTATGAAACATCAAATCAAAACAAACAAACAGAAACCTACAAGCAACAAAAACAGCCCTCAGGGAAACAAAATCAGAATCTACAGTTGCTACAATATATTACCTTAAATGTCTCCTCAACAAAAATATACGAAACATGCAAACAAACAGGAACACGTGACTCATACTCAGGAAAAAAAAAGCCATCAATAGAGCTGTTCCTGAAAAAGCCTGGACATTATATTTAACGAAAACATCAAAGAACTATTATAAATAAATTCAAAGAATTAAAAATAACTGTTTAGAAAATTAAAAGACGGCAGTGACTCAAAAAATAGGAAATATCATGAAACAATTATGGAAACTATAAAAAGAATCAAATACAAATTCTAGAATCAAAAAGTAAAATGAAGACTTGGCTAGATGGAGTCAACAGCAGATCTGAGATGGCAGA